CTTGAAAATACTTTTTATCCAAATCAATTTGTGGTAATGTAATGAAAATCTTGAGTTCTGATGCTCTGAAAGCTTGTATGAACTAGCTTCAGATCTTAAAAATGGTTAAATTTGTACTGGAATACAGTAACGCGCATGGACGGATCGGGAAAATTCTTCATTGGGGGAATATTGAAATTCAGCATAATACACCATCATGTATTACTTATACTAGGGCTGGGCATATTCCGCATTTGACATGGGATGTTGCAACCCGGTACATAAATCACTTGCAGTCACCTATTTACCAATTAACTCTTCCATCATTGTAGGTTTCATTATTATTTGTTTGTTTAGAACCCTTGACTTCGACTTTATGATATAACAACGAAGCATATTTTCTTGTATAACTGACTTGATGACTCCTTACAGGTTCATGCTTGGGCTTATTGAGTTATTGTATTTCTTGTAATTTGTAACTAATTTTCGTTAATACCTTCATTCAGATTTTTGTAGTTTCGATTCACTACCAGTTATTGAGAAATTTGGTAAAGGAGTTGCCCAATTTTCATCCATGCCGGTTAGTATCGTACTTTTTTTTTCTTATGTCATTATGTAATATGGGGAGCGGCTTGAATTCGATTAACTTAGAATATTGCAATGTTTCTTGTAATCTAAACAAACTGAATGCAATATTAGTTGCAGAAAAGTGCACCAACACATCTGACGTTAACAGATCCTTTAATGGAGCGTAACATGAAATTCAATAATGGTGGAAATATTTCAATATGGACGAGAGGAGGACGGCGAGACGTATGTTGACTTTCGCTTTTACAGAAAGTTTTTTATTCTTTAGATTGTTGAGGCATGTAAGACATGTAAGATCATACCCCTCAAAATTCCTTTAATTTTGTTTTGATATGTTCTGCCATTTTTTCGTTGCACATTATTGAAATTACTAAATCTGGGTTATTTTCAGCTAAAATTTTTTCAGGTAAACGTTAATGTAGTTAAGAAATTACTAAAATTTTGTCATGTTTCATCATATGAAACACTGTTTGATTACGCTACTCCAGAAGGCTGTTCAACTAAACGACTTGAGAAGGCTGTTGAACGAACTATTAATTTTTCGAAAGAGTTATTGTCAGAAGATTTTAATAAAGTGATTTTTAATTTAATCTTTTCGTATCTCAAAATTAAGTGTAGCTGCTACATTCGAAAAGAAAATTTCTGAGTGGTCATAAAAATATTATTTGTCAGTTTTTTGTCCGTATGAGATTAGATAAAAGTAGGATTTTGGAAATGAAAATCTGTACAAGTCATTTGTATGCCCAAGACAGCAAAAAGGTGTAATTCACGGAAGTTTATTATTTGCTTGAAAAAATATTCTGTATTGTTGTGATATTTATTTTTCAGAATTCTGTGCCATTGATTGCTTTATGTGGTGGGCATAGTCGACTTCATCATGAACGATGTGCATCAGCGCTTGGTTCAAATTCAGAAGGTTGTGGTTTTGTTTTAGATGTAATGCAGTTCGCAAAACGTCTACGTTTCTTTCCAAAAAAATCAAAGTCAGTGGCAGTTTTGAAAGCGGAGAATACAAAAGAAAATGATGATCAAGTATTACCATGTGCTGACGAAACATCTGAGAGCATTGAAGCGTTCAATCATGTTCTTGTCGAAAGTGAATTTAACGAAAACGCAATTAACAACTTGCTGTCTGGAGTTTGGGTAACTTGTATTTATTCAAAATCAATTCATTCTAATATATCAGATAACGACTACAGCATGTTTTAGCTGTTATTACTCTATTATATCCTTTTTTTTTTTACTATCACTGAGTTTTATTTAAAGAGCATGAAATAAAGTATTCCATTCCTACCACCAGTTTATCATATGTTAATTTAATTAAAGGCAAAAATTATCACGAAAAGTTTCCAGAGCAAAAAGTTTTAGATTTAGATTTAGGAAAGGATTATTTTTACATGATTCAATGGTACAGTAATCGGTTTGCTTTCTGATAAGTATGAATTTTTCAGCCTCATATTTCATCTTCTCATTTACGTATGGTTAATGGCGCGTTTTCACCGTCAGAAGTTGTTACTTTAACCCGTCTCGGTGTCGATTTATTCGATTCTTCATATGCAATCTTCCTCGCTGAACAGGGAAAAGCATTTGTTTGTGATAAAAATTTTCCTCAAGAACCAAGTTTCAGCGTGCTTAATTTTAGTGATGAAGTGTAAGTTTCGTTATATTCAATGCTATAGCTACATGAGTTAAAAAGTGGGAAAAATTTTATTACTTATTTTTTGATTTGCAGACCTATAAAGGTTCTCTGATACAATATCTGATTGTTTGGAATTCCAGACGTTTGAATTTGCTAGTTCATTGGTATTTCCCGATATTTATATCTTATTTGGTACCGATTTATTTTGCTGAAAGTCCTTCAGATTTGTTTTTTTGTTCATTGAGTGTGCTGCCTGACCTTCTATTGTTTTATTTATAGTGTACCTAACAAGGCCAATTTTTTTCAGATATGCAGAAGATTTCGCTCCTGTTTGTGAAACTTGCGATTGTTATACTTGTAAATATTACTCAAGAAGCTACCTGAAACATTTGATAAATGCAAAGGAACTATTCGGTCTCATTTTGCTTGTGATGTGAGTTTAAGTTATTCTTATAACTCAAGAAAACTTTTTCAATTTTTAACAATATATTTTGAGATAAATTTTGGCCTTGTGTGTATTAATGTAATTTTTTCAGTCACAATATACAAGAGTATGAGAGAATGTTTGCGCTACTAAGAACATATCTATCAAATGATCGATGTGTATAATGTTCCTCAACTATCTGCAGCTGATATTCATCTTTTTTAATCGACTTCGAATTCTAATGGAATAAAATATTGTTAATAACTCGAAATATATTTTTTATTGTCATGCAATGTTTATGTTCGTACCTCAAATTAATTACTTACCTATCTTTTTGTTACTGTTTTATTATGAGTCTTTCCGTTTTAAAATGCGTTTTCTGACTTATTGAGTTTTGTGTCAAACGTATTCAACTTTTTTTTCGAAGCAGTAATGCATTAAAACAAACAAATGGAAAAAAACAATCCAAGACCAAAATGGATAAGAGACCTGCGACTGGATGATCGGTTTGATTGGATTGGACCACCCAATGAGATTTCAAATATAAGGCCGCTGAGGTGGAATTTTGAACTATTTGAATTAATAGATCAGTTATATCATTTTAATTGTAATTTTTGGCAGTAAAGAAGCAGATAATTATATGCTTGGTCGCAAATTAGTTTTGTATCGGTTATATTGCACACTCTATAGTTAAAAGTGTTTGGGGAATTTTGAAATTTGAAATCTAACTTAAAATGTTTTTAGCATAGAGAGAGAGCTACTTGTTCTCTAGTTTATAAATTTATTGAGATCTTGTCTACAAGTATGTACTTGAGGTTACGTCATCTAGCTGATGAGTCAAAGGAAGAGCAAAAATATCGTGAAGCACGGGAAGCTCTCAACGAATGGAGCTCACAGTTTTGGGCTAATCACAATGCATTATTCGAAAGAAAACGAGCTGAGTTCGTCAAGCAGGTATGGTTTCAAACTAAAATTCATAAGATAATCAGTAGAAATCTTAATTGAAGTTTCAGATTTTACAAAGTATGGGTGAGCATGTCTAAAAATTTTTAATCAAACAAGGACTAAAGTTTATGTGTGTATCTTTATCCAGAAGGTTCTCGTCAACCTATAAATTTTTGCAAATATTTCCAAATGGTATTTATGCATTTAACGACTTTAATTTAAAATTTATTCAGAGTATTTGCAGAAGAAGCAAAAACTGGGACGATTAGAACATTCTAGTGCTGTTGACATGTCTGAATTTTATAAAGATTTTCTCGATAGGCAATATGGCAAACTTACCTCTTTTAATAGGTCTGTATTTTTTTAAAATTATTTACTCTATCTTGATTGCTAATCAAATTTTCATTTTTTACACTAAGATCTGTTCCATTTTTTTCTTCAAAGATTTTTCAAGAAACCTATTTGTTTAGGGAGTGGTATTATCGAAATATCAGCCTTTTTTGGCCAGCTTTCAAAGTACAAATGATCAGGTTCAGGCGTTCGCTACGTAATGTATTGCGCAAGTGATATAAAAGTCTTAATAGAAGTATCAAATAACAATTTGCTTGTTAGATAATGAATAAAACTTTTGTTAGTTTGTGAATTTCGTTATTTTTTTTGAAATGCACATTATCTGCTTGACGCCATTCATGTTGTGCAAACGAAAGAGGTATGTTTCTAAAGGGATATTTAAAAGAAACGTTAATTTGAACTTTCAATATTGTATGTTAACTGATGTTTCGCAATATAGGACAGTACTGAACTAAGAAGTGTTAATATTTTTTAAATTGTGTATAATAATTAATTAGTACATTAAGGTAACGAGATTTTTGCGTTGTAATCAAATTCACGGATTTTATCTCCCAATTGAAGGTCATTTGAAATAATTAAAAAGCATCTCTAGTTGCGAAATGCAACAGTGTGTAATGTGCATGGCTTGATGGTACTAAATGATCAGTCATAGGCAAATACTGGCCCTTAATACTACAAAACATGAAATCTAGTATGGGGTGTGGAAGGTTGTACTCCCGTGAAGATGACGTTGTTGGATTAGGAGACTGTGAAGCCAATCTCAGCTGTTGTTTATCTTTGCATTTATTAAGGAACAAAGGCGAGGCATCTGATTGTGAAGTATTATTTCAATAAATAACGAAAAGAGTTTTCTTCAAATAATCCCACGTTTTCGTTGTTCAGCTAATGAGTAGCAGTAGAGTTCGCATTCTTGCTTTGTCCTCGGTGAACGCCACAGATTAAAATCTAGTTCAGCACAATATGGAAATATGTATGGTTCGCATTGGTCTGTATTTGAAAATCGATTCACCTGAAGGATTATTGTTGTTGGTTTAGATCATCGAAAATTATAGTCACTTGCAATTACCTATAATTAATTTCTGGAATATTTATTAGGTATTTTCATATTTAGATCTCTAGTGAAGTGTTGTTGAGAACTGTACTGATGGTTGTGTAATAAACTTATTTGGGGGGAAATGTGTCTATTACCATTTCCTGTTTTTTAAAGAATATATCATTTTTCCTTCAAGTATGAAAGAAGGAAGAAAATCTATTGCTCGGCAACCAGTTTAATATTACGAACAACGTCATAAGAAAATTGGAAGTTTTTTTACTACACAAAAAGCAATCTGTTTATTCCTTTAGTATGATGAATTAGTGAAAAGTAAAGAACTTAGAGGTGTGCATTAATGGCTTTTACTTTACTGTAATTGTAAGCATGACTTGCAGTACTAAATTATCAACATTTTACCCTCCGGAACCATCGATGGACTTTTTGCACTGGGTCACGGCTATTTACTGTTACATTTGGGCAACCATTAACGATCAGATCGTGCCATAGAATGAACGGCATCGGGTCGCATCCCCGAGCTGGAGATCCGATCGGACATGCACACAACTGAAAACTATGCTTTCAGTAGATATTACTTATTAATAATACAGCAGTGGTGATGAATCATAGATCTACCTAGCTTTTATCTACAGTTCTCATACAGTATTAAAATTAGTAGTACTTGACAGTGCATTCCTCGAGCTTAGATATATCAAACAAGTAACTTAAACGAAAAAGTCTGAAATTGAATGAAATTTAACTTTTGCAAAACCATGTCATTTATCAGATAAAGTGCTCGAAGTATTTAATCTCATACTGTAACAATCCTGTTTTTTAGATCTAAAAGACTGTATTTTAGGTGAGATAATATTCCCTCAATACTTGCAAAGTAAGTTCCGATTCACGAAATGCCATTATCTGCTTCGTATGTATTACTTAAATTACAGTTGAAAATAAGAAATTGAGCATGTTAGGTTTTCAAACAATTAATTTTGGTTTTGTGTCGTCGTCACATTGTAACATTTGATTGCGGCGAGAATTCACTGCTTTTAATGAAGTAATGTTAGATATAAAAGTTAACGTTGTGAAACGCCGAAAAAGGCAATGAGCGAAAAAAATTTTGCAACTAAATAAATTATTATTTAAAAAAGAAATTAAAGTAATTTCATTTTTGTCGCAAGTAGCAATCGTGAATTATTCTCAATTTAATTCATGCAGAAAAGACGACTGACTTGTTCTTAATTTTACAAGTAAGATTTTTTAATGCAATTCGCAGTAAACTCTTTGGCAGCATATTTCTGGAACATTCTAGAATTGTTATTGTGATTGATTGCACAGTTTATATCAGAATAAGTAGAGACAACACATGTTTGATAGTTGAAATCATAGGAAAACAAAACAGATATGTAGTGAAGAAACAAATTAATTCATTTCTTACAATACATTTCACAACTTTGTGATTCAGACCTTTGTGATTCAAATAACGATTAGATATGCAGTAACTGCTTGAGAACTAGTAGTTTGACAAATATGTGAAGACGGATTACACGTTTTCAAGTCAAATCACATCATATTTGAAGTGTTCTAAGTAAGGCTCAAGTACTCACAGCTTCTTTTGAAGAAGAAGGAGAAATTACGAACCAATAAATGATCATTGAAATTAAATTAAGTTAGGTTAAATTAAATGCACAAACAGATTTTTAGATTATTCTCTGTAAAGTATGAAAGCTTATGACAGAATTAGATCGCATTATCTTAAATAAATTAAATGAACGACTTAAATGATTTAATTAATTTTAGCAAAAAAAAA